AGAAAGCACATGAAGCCAAATCAAGATACGCAATGGATACTTGAGCCATGTCAGACAAACAAAGGCAGTTCAGATTACAGGCAAACTCTGTAGTAAAGTAACACCTGTAAAGTGAAAGACCAATTCACTGGCAGCATGATGAGTAGTTTAAAGGTTGGGAGGGTTAGACACTATACAGCATCTGCTGCACATAAAAATGTTTAATTAGCTGTTAAGCAGCAAGCTATACATTCCCATTTTTTCTAGCAGAACATTATTTATTTGGTAAGTGCCCCTGCTCAGCTGGCAAGGTTCAGAATTAAGATAGTTGCTTCACTATAGGATCCGAGGTCAACATCCTCACACATACCAAACTGACCAGTAATTAAATTCTAATGTTTTGAAATGCAATTTCAGTGTGCACTTCACTTCCTGAAACACCAACAAACACTTTAAAATACGTATTACTTTAAAATTCAGGATAAAATATTTAATTATGTTGCCAATGGCATGTAAGATGTTTTCTTTAAAAGTTTACCTAGAATTGTAAGTGTCATTAAAATATATATATGTAGATGCAGATATATATTTAATTTCTGTTCAACCTCCAGTGTAGCAATATCGACAAATTTATTCAAAAGGAGAAATAGTGAGCCTCTTGGGATGCAAAATGTTCTCACAGGATTTTTTATGTAAGGTTTGGCATGCACGCAGCCCCCCCCCAATATATAAGGTACCCTATTTCAATAAAGAGACAACAGCCACAACCTCTAAAGGGCAAATAAAAACCACCAAACAGGTTAGAATCTCATCTTCATTTACTTGCAGCCAGTATCCCATAGGCAGTTGAAGAGTATCCAACTCTATATATGTATCACAGATTTTTAAATTACTTCTGTAGATTCAAACCCAATCCGTACATTTTTGTTAGGCTCAAAAGGGAGTTAAATACGTATTCCCCAAAGGCAGGTATGTATGCATTTTAAGTCAAGCATGCGATTAAACGCTTTACTAGTAAGAACTCTCAACCAGATGTTGGGCAATCCTGCAACACATAGTCGCTCTCAACCAGTGTTGAAGCAGTGCAGTTTATGAGCTGGTGGTTTCCCACCCTGTGATGCTGTTATTTAACCAGTTTTTAAAAATGTCTGTCCTCACCTTTTCATAAAAAAAATGTACAGGTTAATCAGGAGAGTTTTGCTCAAACCTATTAATTCTCAGGATGACCCATGATGTAAAGCCTCACAAAATTACATTACAGAAAGAAAGAATGAGCTCCTTGCAAGGCAGAAGCATCTAGTTTCACTACTGCTTTCTGTGCCTCCTCCCACCCAATTTGGTCAAATCGCTTGTTCATTCTGGGAGTTAGTTCTATGCACTACAGATGCCCTCCCTGCTACGTATCCCCAGTAGCTCCTACATCTATGCACAGCATCTTAGACAAGCTTGGATTCTTGTTTGAATTCTGGGAATATTTAAAATCCAAATATTAAAATGTTCAATTAGAGATACATTAACAAAAGGTAATTGAGGAAAAATTTACAATAGTTTAGTTTTTAGACTTCATTATCTGATCGCATGTTCATAGTATATTGCAGAAAAATTTCTAACAATCTGGCTGCAGCAATGGGAATTTTTAAAAACAGTCAATCATATTTTCTTCTGACAGTTGTAATTTTGCAAGAACTGAATTCACACAGGCACAAACACACAAAGAACAAAATACAGTTTCATTAACAGGGATCTCTCTGAATTTGTCACAGATAAATTATCGCCCAACAGTGAATAAGCTCCCCCTTAACTAGAGTTAGGTTAGATTAGGACCTTTCCCAGACAGCCTTAAATATAAAAAGTGCAACAAAAGAAATCCCAGAACAAACAAGTTCTGTCATAACATTAAAAATATTCTTATTTCCTTTTTAAAATCTGCTCACAATTCATACAGATGGTTATTGTTGAAGTTGTCCTGGTTCCAAAAGGAGTAAAGGAATTAATGCCTTAAATACTGTCAACTTTTCTTGCACATTTTTCTTTCCCCGATAATACTGTGGCACTACTGAAACTTTGCTAGCATCAAATTTGTACTGTTTTTTTTTTTAAAAAAAGTCCTTATACTGCCACCCATGCAAAACTTTCTCTGCAGCGTACTTCATTTGAGACAAAGGAAAATAAAACCTATGCCACTAGATAACCAGAAAAGGCAGCTCTGACAGCACTGCACTTCTTACCTGATACATACTTAATTCAGAAGATCATTCCTCCACCCTGATTTTTTTTCTTATGTTGTTCATTAGTCCAAAAGGCTTTTATCTGTCTGGGTCTGTTTCTATCATTTGAATCAGTGCTCTCTAGTCTTACAAATTTTCCAGTGAACACCTGAGTAAGCCAATAATACCTGATTTCAGATTTCTTTTTACTGGAATTTATGTCAAAATTCAAATTTGCATTTGCATTTACATGACTAATTCAAGTTTTCACTACATATTAAAGATTGTCTTTGCATAGGGTATATTATATATGCAAGGCTAGTATCATGCATACAGCTATTCTTAAGCCCGAGTCACTTCCTTTGCAGAATACGTCAGGCAAAAGGATAGTCAACTACTGCCAGGAAAGAAACATCTGGGGGAATTTCTCTTACCACATTCCAGATTTGTCAAAGGAATGAGCAGCAAGCTGCTAGAAATCTGCCCATAACTTTAAAAAGTCACCATTTTGCATTAACATTCTTTTTCAAGAATGGAATATCTCTTTTTTTTTTTTTCCCCTCCTTTTTCCTGACTCTGGATTCAATTTCTGCCATTTTAAACTCAACATTTTCACCTGTGATTAAAGCAAGTCTTAAGGAGTCATATTACACAAAGTATTTTTTCCACTTTCACACTTACAGTCCAAACTGCCTCCTGGAAACAGAGAGCAGTCTATAATTTCATTTTGGTGATTTTTCAGAGTAAGTTTTCTAAATGAAAGAATTTGAGAGATGGCCTTACTGTACACGCAATAGACAAGAAAAAAATCCAGCTCTTTGGGAAAAATATACTTTATTTTCCATTTTAACCTTTAAATTACTTTTTCTTTGGTATTACCATTATCACAAATTAGATACAATGTCTATGTCAAGCCCCTTCTATTCACAAAATGATCAAAGAAATAGCAATCAAATCCACTTGACTCAGTGAGAAAAACATTCCGCATAAAATAAAAGCTCAAGATCCACAGCATCACAAATACTGTCAGAAACTTCCACTCCTTAACCAGTAATATCAATGTGACATCATGTCATGGTCCAGTTTCTTTAGTTCATTTAATTAAGCAAGAATGAACTTTTTTTTTTAATCTTCGTGGACAGTAGATATTTTTGCTCATAATATCCCTGACTTGAAAGCACTTAGATAAAACTTCTCTTCAGTCAAACCACCCGAAATTTGATTCATACACAGTAGGCTGCAAAGGACAAGCATTTGATTTTGCTTCCAAATATGACACTTCTGACAGTATTTGGCTGTGAGTTTCATAGCTGTCATCCAAGTCTCATAAAAGGAATGTACAAATTTCATGAAAGGATCTGATACCTGATGAGCTCCTTAGTTCCCATACTCCTTCCTAAACTGGAAATTCTCAAAACTTTTGTTCTCAGAATTTTACAGGTTTGAGAAAAATTTACTCATCCTGAAGTCTGTCCTGCAGAAGCACACAAAAAATACTTACAGAAAAGGATCTAAAGATAAAATGTACGCTTAAGTGCAGAAATAATGTATTTTAAAGTACAGATGGTTTTAAGGTACATTCCAGTATAATCTAGTTAAAACTCAACAAACTCTCCAGTTCTATGAGTCCCTGAGAGAATTAAAATGGACAATGAATATTTTGAAAGCACCTCGAGTGTTTGGAAAAACAAAGGTACCAAAATACAGAAGGTAAGTTTTAAATTCACAGGTACAAGTAATATTTTGAACTCCGCACTGCTGAAGATTCTCTGAAAAATCTAAGTTATATTGTACAGGAAACTAGTTTCAGCACTTACACAGTAATTCTCTTGGCCTGATACCACCAAGTCTTCCCCACTAACAGAAATTTTTATTTCAGCTGTACAAATGGCTATGTTAATTATTAAAACAAACTTTCAAAATGGCATTTTAGTCTTCTCAAGTAGGTGAAGTAGTACCTGCAAAATATTTGGAGAAAAAGTGCCATTTATTTACCCATATATAGCATGCTAAGTCTCAGGATGTCTTCTTTAACCATCCCTTTGACATTTTATATAATTTCTTCATACTGTAAATTATAGACTTCTTTGCCCCTAAAAAGGAACACACACACACAAAAATCAACATTTAAAAAGACTATATCATATATTTTGTTTTTTTACTACTTTCTTTTACTACTTCTTTATCTTCTCTGTTACTGCTTTAAGTAAAATACTTCTCTAGAAAAATGACAATAACCTAATCTATGATTGAAGACATGCAAATTAACTTTCTTTTCACACACATATTACAGTAAATAATGATACCTTTAATAGCACCAAAGCATGCAAAATGGGATAGGCTTAGTCCGTTCTAAAGCCCTGATGATAACATTGCAAATGAACACAAAGATGTAGAGACTCAAGATAAAACTGTCAACTAGTGCAGATAAAGACTTCAGTCAAGTAATATACATTCTTGTTCCTAAATGCTAAAGATAAAAAGACTTTTAAACCATCCCATGTACTACAGATCCTCAAACTAATATATTACACTTTTCAAGCAGTTTCTGGCTCTATGGCCACATAGCACATCCAGATAAGTAGGGCTGAATCAGGCATGGCAAAGAATGCCAAAAACCTAATGGACTACATTATGCTGCAAGACACCAGAGTAGGACCACTTAGTGAACCCTAGACTGGTTAGCATGCAGGCTAATCAGGAGGCCACATCTGCGCGAGGAATCAAGTTACTGAAGCATTTCAGCTCTTAAAAGAGGACCAGATTTCTCAGATTAAATTAGGTCTAATCTTCAGGTGTTACAGCTGTGCCCAAGATCTGTGGTCACAATTTGATAGAACTAATAATAGGGAAGAAGAAACAGAAGCAAAGTCTTGTATTTCCAAACCCTTCTTTCTTCTGCTAAGCAGATTTTAGTTAGGCTTGCTTTGCAACCATGCAGTTAGGATTGTACAAGCACTTCCTTGAGTTTCATCTTGATAAAGATGCAGAGGGATTGAGGATAACTCCCATGAAAATGGCAAAGCTTACCTATAGTCAAATAGCCCATAACATTCTATCAAAGATGAGGAAATGTGAAAGCAAATACTGCTGGTTCTGGCACTCCAGCAGGGTTCTGACAGTATAGCCAGTGAAACGATGTCTTCCTCTCTCCATTTTTTTGATAAAAAATAAAAAGCGCAACTTTTCAGATTACAAAGTGTAATGAACTCTTGCAAATCGAAAGCTGGAAATACATGTTTTAAAGATGTTGGTACTGCATTAATTTTGTCCCTTAAACACACACATTAAAAAGTGTGGCTCTGATCCACTATACTTATCAGCAACTTGCTTTTTTTTGCTGTTGTTGTTAAATATACCAGAATTTACCTGACAAGACTGACTAAAAGTTCACACAACTAATTAAGCCAAAAAACACACAGTATGATGCATCATACACTAAGGAAAGATCTTCTGAAATTAATGAGGAAGCAAGACTCAGAGTTAACCATCTACTACACTGCGCAGTGGGGGGAAAAAAGGATATAGTAATATTTAAGATGACTTTAGGAAGTACTCAAAGATAAAAAGACAAATAATATTTTAGGTAAACAATATTTTAGCTATTAGTAGCCTACAGCGCCACAAAAGTCAAATGAGCATGAGATAACAGGAAAATGCATGCTCTACTTCTGAAAGAATGTGAGGGAGAATAAAAAGACTATTACAAAAAGCATGCTGGACACAATCAGTTTTGCGCTTCTAGTATATCTGGTTGCAATTTTTAAAAAAATGAAGTTTATGTTTTATAAAAACTCATATAAAGAGATATTTTAAACTTACAGAAGCCTTTGTCTCCCATAGGTACACTCAAACATTATGTATTTAAGAGGTTTTTACTTATGTCAAGCACACAAATGAAGTCATTATGTTACTTCTTCTGCAGCATCTCAAATAGCCAATAAATAATCATGAAAAAAATGCAGCGTTTCAGTGACCTGCATTACAATTATATGCAGTTTAGCTCTTCCAGACACAGAATAAGGCTAAAATGTGCCTAGCACATTCATGGAAGAAGTGTTTCTGGTTCCCAAGGTCAAAAATCAGCAGTAGAACTTTGGTAACTACTGTCTACTCTCCTAGGTACTATACCTCCAGGATACACCCCATTTGCTTTGCAAGGATCCATGTCTTCCTGCCATCCAAATAAAATCAGCATATTTCTTAAGCAGAGGTACAGCATGTGTCAAAAGCACAGTAACACAGCAAATTACTGTCCTGCAGGACAGTACTTAACTGAGCTGGCACTGTGGCCTGCAAGTCAGCTTGTTCTAAGTTTGCCAACCCATTCTGCCTCCTGCAGCAGCTCAACGTGAAGAGATTTTTCACTGCAATTTTTCCCCACCTTCAGGGATCAGTTTACTGAACTCCACCCACCAGTCTTGAACATAGCATCTTATGTAACAAGATGCTTAAATTTCTGCTCTAGTCCATCATGCTACAAAGCAAAATACAGGTTTATGCATACAACTGGCTTCTTCTAGCAGCCCTCAGGGTGATGAGTCACATGTGTAGTAAAGTTAATGGTTGCAATTATGGCTCAGTCTCACAATCTGAGGCAGTTGAACCACATAAAACATCTTTCTACTTTAGCTATGAATCTAAGACTTGGTTGTTCCACATCTCCTTTAGATTTTTCCACTATATAATACAGAACAAAGACCTAATGCACATGGAATTAAGACCACAAAATTTCTGCATAAATGTAAGTTGTGCTTGGTTTTGATTGAGGATCCCATGTTCCTTTTTGGGTACTATTATATTATAGCCAAATTACTATCTTACAGGTCCACTAAAGTTTCCCTATAGATACACCTGGATGTAAAACTCTGTTTCCCTTTGAAATGGGCTAATGCATACACAATGCAGTAGAGGCAAATATTTATATATTTTTAGCTTAAAACTCACAGATACATGCAAACTTTTTGCACATATTTACAGTGAAGTGCAGTGGTATGCAATATTTGCTCAGCCATCTGATAAGTACAGCAGTTACTGCAGCATGTAAGTATCTACTGAATATATATAAGGCCATCCTTTATAGTTAAAAGAAAATACTTCCTTGTCGAAAACTGTATACAATTCTAAAAAAAGAAAAAAAAAAGACAAAAAAAAGTTATTCAGAGCAACTGCAAGCATTATTTTTTGTTAACTTAAAAGGATCTCGAACAATTGCTTCAACTGATGATTTAATTTGCAATATTTTATTTACAAGTCATTTAGAAGACTTGAAGGGTTCCCTTGGTATGATACAAGAAAGAAGTCTAAGCTAAATAAGTACTAACATCTCATTCAGAAAGGCTAAATATAAGAATTTGAGCGTTAGTTCCCAAAGACCACGCAGACTCTGGCTATGTGGGAAAATAAATCAAATGATGGTGCCATCTCTAATAGGAAACAGAGAGACAATCTCACCACAAACTTGAAAAAAAAAGTAATATAGGCACATCAAAAACTAAATAAGGCATTTAACAACAGACAAAAATACAAAGCTTGAGCTCAACTTTAAAACCACACTGGCAAAGAAAGATGAAAAAGTTCTCTTAAATGGGTTGAAATTTTTTATTTTGACTGTACTTTCCAACGTTAGTACACAGCATGCCATCTCAGTAAAAAGCATTCCTGATTTAACTTGCAGTTTAGCACTATGCTGTACATTGGATGGCAATGTTACAGTCCAGAGAGCAAGCATTTCAGTTTCTTTATTCTAAAAATGTAACAGTCAGCTAAGGAAATCATTTTTTGTCTCTGTTAAAAAGTTCAAAAAGAATGATGGACAGATTATGAAAACAAATCTTTTCACAAACAGATCTAGGACAAAAGTACTGTGTCAGCTACCAGGAATAGAAAGAAAAAACAAGCAGAGCTTATTCAGTGGAATCACTATTTCCATGATTTTCGTAATTTCTTGGGTTTTTAGGTAATTTTCTTAAAAAGAACACTGCAGAAGCATAGAATGGAAGAATCAAAGAGCCATAACGCTTTTCTTAAAGTCCCTACCTGAAAGAATAAAATACCAGACAGTATTTGGTAGACAGAACATTAGACAAGATATGGTTAAAAAATAAAAAAAGAAAAAATACTAAATCCTTAGAGATTAAATATAATAGCTGAGCACTTTCCTATAGCACTCATGTTTAATTTCTATGGATGAACCACAATTTTCTGTGTGGATGCAATATGTATATTATCTGAGAAGAACCTAAATAAAGGGCAATCCACTCAAACAGCATAAATGACTGCCCTCTAGTGACAAACATTTTTGATCAATAAACTGCAATCAGGAAACCTTTATTAAAGGCATGCAAGATTTCCAAGATTCAGTCAAACATTTGGAGTGAAATATAAAACAGATACAAACAAAATGCTCCTATTAATTCTAAGCCTATCTCATCATCTCTCCTAAAGTCCACTGAGGATCACACAAGACCTTTAAAGTCAAGGAACTGCCAGAAATGCTCCTTTTCCAAACAGAACTCATTGCCATGAGCATGTAATCTTTGAGTAACTCCGAAAGATCAATCCTGAATTCTGTTGCTTACATAGTTTTGGCGAGAATCTGGTGGAAGTACATGAATATGCTTAAAAAGTAGAGCAAACAAAACCATGCTAAAAATAATAAAACTAAATTTCTCCCAAGGTTCTGTAAAATTGAGTTCATGTTTGAGGCAAAGGTTCACAATAGGTTTGTTTTACCTTCATTCAAATTCCAAAAATCTATTTCCAACACTAAAAGCACTGATGGAAAAATATTGCTTAAACATGTTTTACTCTTTGTAACAGGCTGAAGATAGCTCAAGTTTATGCTAAAACAAAAAACAAACAAACAAAAAAAAAACAACGCCACTCTATACAAACTAAAAATCAGCATTGAAGAGGAAAGTAAGAAAAGACATTTCAAGAGTACCCACTTGCAGGTACACAAAGCTAAGAGTGCTGTAAAAATCGTTAAGTCCTATTAAAATATGCCCAAAAGTACTACTAGTAATATGGGGTCTAGGTGATTGGTCTGAATATGGGCTGAATGACACAGAAGAGAAATTAATGACTCCCAGAGGTTGTTTTCTGTCCATCAAAATTTAGACAGATGGAGAGTCTCTCTGTGATGAAGCTTAACTGCTTTTATTTGTAGTATTGCAGTTACACATGAACAGCTTTACTTCCCAGTTCAGTTAGGCGGTTGGTATTCATAAGCACTGAATTCACACATGAAAACATTGTCTTTCTCATCTTCTCCTTCCTTTTGCTCTACAAAATCTACCATCTGTGGTAAAAATACGTCACGAAATGGTATTTCTAAAACAGATATGCTGCATTACTTGATCATTAGCAGGCAACTTTGAAAACAGATTCTAAAAGACAAAAACTTCTCTTACTTTTTTGGAGACCTTGCTTTAGAGAGTCATATAAAAGCAACATCCTTAAGTTCCATCTCTTTTTTCCCTTCTATATGTTCTCATATGACTTTGTAATACTGAAGTCTTGTTCTGAAGTAGCTCATTTTTATGTATCAGTTACAGTAATACAGCGCTCACTGCATATAGGCTCAGTGCTAAACACAGGATACATTTGAATATATACCTGCCTTCTCACCCTGGACAGAAACATCATATTCTTTCAAGTTCTTTCCTCAAAACTCATGCCTGTCACTTTATGATGATATAACATTTTATTAATGCAAAAAGAAAACCAGTGCACATCAGCAATACCTGGCCCACATAAACTTCAGCCTTTTTTAAGTCATGTAGCCCCCTTTTGTCACTTTACAATTTTCCAGTAGTTAAAAGAAAGCAGAAATATCTACTTTCAACATTTTCATTAAACATCCAAGGAGTTTATTCCCTATAAACTCCTGTAAAAGGACAGTCCTAAGGCCCTATAATTTTAAACTTTGCAAAAATCAGAAGGCCTATGCAGATACAAATTGTACACATTCTTACCAGCTGTCAGTATGGTTTTGGCACTCTGTGCTAGACTGGAAGATCTCACAATTCCTGAAACGCCTGCAGATAGAAACACATACAGATGTTATCCATCTTAGTAGTTTTGTGTGGTTCTATACTCTAACACACAAAAAAAGGAAAAATATTTTTCCAGGTGTACAATGAAGCCAACCCAGAAGTAAGACTTCAGTTGAGAAATGTTATTTCTAGTCTGCTTTGCTATACTAAATGAAAATACTCACTGTTTTAAATATACTTGTTATTTGGATTTATTATATATATAAACATGCAAAATATATCTACATATATTAAAACAGGAAACAACTTAGTAGGAATTGATCCAGTTAGTTTGTCCAGTCTTCCCATTATTTCTCAAGTTATGCTTCATCTAGGCATTGGTACTTTACATTTCTAGGCAAAATCAATTTGCACTCATCGTTTACTTCAATATGAAATTGGGATTTTGTACTTGTTTAGTCAAGTAGAAATGCCTATTTAAATCATCAGTTTTCGGGGTAATGCTCGTTTACCACTTTGAATTGTAGCACAGTCAGCTCCTACAATACTATTAACAGAATAATATATAAAATAGTACTTTTTAAAATAAATTTTATCTGTTCTAATGCATAAAGATCTACAAACTTAGATTAATAAATAATGTAAAAGTGCAGAAAATCATCAGTCTCAAAGATCATCTTCCAAACTACAAGCTATTTTTTCTGCATTAACCAGAAGAGAAAATATAATTCCTTACTACTTTGAAAATCTACTTTCAAAGCTACTTATATAATCAAGAACAAAAACATAAGGAAATCCAGGGACAAAAAATATTTAATCTGAAAAAAAAAAACCCAACTGTTTTTATTTAATAAATCAGATGTTGATTTTATGTTCATCTGAGGAAAAAAAAGTACACCCTTCAACTTCAATAATCATTTCAGTCTTGCATGGTTATAAAATGGCTTTGCTGTTCTTTATCCAAACTTCTCAAAAAGAAAATTCTTTTGTACACAAGGAATTCCTTTGTCCATATTTGTTCTTCTAAAGAGGATAAGCTGCTTGACTTGTGAAGGCTAGATCTAACCAATGTTTTGATACTGAATTGCTGCATGACTGCGTACAAATCATAGTTACACATGTTTGAGATACCCTGCAAAAACAAAACCATAAAGATAAGGAGGTAGACAAACTAGAGTAGCTCACAAGTGTTAAAACACAAATAGGATATATATCTTAATACTGAAGTCATGTCAGACATGGAAATACTGAACATAAAAACAACAAAGAGTTAAATGGTCTAACTAGTTCATGTCACATGCTAAAGACGATTCTTTTCAGGCTCTGAAATGAAATTCAGAACTACTTCATAGTATTTCAGAGAGCCTGCTCACAATCAAGCCAATCCCAAAATGTGCTTTTTGAAATGTATGTAAGATTAATTTCCTATCTTCTTTCTTCTCTCTCAAGCATCCTTCTGAAGACAAAAAATGTATCTTTATACCTAGAGGGATTAAAGGAGATTGCTGAGGTTGATCTAGGCCTACCTTGATGTACCACAAATCCACAGTCAGGGTCATGAGCAACTTGCATTAAAATTTCTTCCACATCTCTGTTTTTTCCAGGAGGATCTACCAGAGAAGTTATCTTTTGCTGTAGAGTTCTTGGCAAAGCCATTAGCTGTGTGAATTGACCTTCTGGACTTTTATCGATCTGAATTTTGTAAAAATTAAGACAGTAACAGCATACAGTGTTAACAGAAATAACTTCTATTCTCAAAGAAGTCACAGAAGTCTTTGGTTTACCTTTGGTCTATGATAAAGCTGTGGGGCTGCATATCTCAAAAAACACTATTTCACATGCAGAAAATCAATGACAAAAATAATGAAAGCTCCTCATGCAGTGGAAAAGGCTGCATCTCAGTTCTGAATCTAAAGAGTAACACAATGGAAAGATAATGATTTTTATCCACGGGAAGCCCTGGGTCCACACGTGATATTACTACTTCTAGGAGCAAGTTATTGGGGAAATTGTACCATTTCTGCTCTATTCAATTTCCTTTGAAAACTTAAGTACACTACAACAACAAAAAAATGGTCCCAAAAGACCACTTACCTCCTTCTTTCTTTTGCAGAATATAATCAAACTATATATCCATACACATATGCATTTAAAGTTTCATTTGAAAAAAAGTTTTTCTGCTGTAAACTTAACCACATCTGGTTTGAATAACTTGAAAGACATATTTATTCCACATTTTCCAGTCTGAATCAGAAATACAACGACCCTTTTCTGAAGACAGTGATACTAACACGTACGTCTGTACACGTTTATACAAAATGAGAGCACAAATACTTGGGGGGGGGGGGGGGGGAAGAGAGGAACAAAAAAGTATAATGGAGCAAATCTCTCCAAAAACTAGAGAAAAATATCAAGAGCCTGATTCCTCCCACACAACTTCCAAACCACTTCATGGAATCATCAGACAGGAGTCTGGTTGCCCTAAACTCCTTCTAGTTAATGGGGACAAAATGATATCCAGATGAATCACCCACTGAATACATAGCAAGCTAACAATGAGCCGACTCCTAATGTTATGTGGGAAAAATCCGTGCCTAAACCAGAACTATTAGAAATAGTGTCTGCCTTGAATTATTTCTGAGTAATGTATTAAGAAAGATTTTTCTCTGTAATTCCAATAACATACATTTTGCGTGGAGGGTTGCTATTACGCATTAAGCTGTACTCTAGATAGCAGTTATCCTCTTCAATTCCAGAAATATAAGCAAATATCCAGAGCAAAGTATAAGGAATAAAGTATTATATCACTTTGCTCAATATTAGCAGTAAAATAATAGCATTTAGTGAACAATCCCAGTGACTAACATGGGATTCCAAACAGATTTATTGTCCCACAACATATTTGTATTACGCTACTAGCTTTTATGTACATGTAAAGTAACAGGAAGTTTTATTTTAACTAGTCATCTTCTCGGAGAAAGTATGGTCAATTATGTTCAAAAATCATTTAAAATATTTCTGCTGTTAAAGAGTTCACAAGCCCACTGATAAGAAAATATGCAGACAGCTGCACTGTAATGTAGATTTGCCCATATTGCACTCCAAAGTGCTGTGGTAAAACTGTTTCCCATACTCAAGCTTGCTTACATCTAAAACAACATAATGAGATAATTACCAAGGTGACCTGAGAATAAAGAGATAATTTACGGACATGAGACAACACATGCTATTTGTAGCTTCGTGTTGAAATGCACACCACAGTGTACTAATGTTTTTACAAGGACATGCATACTACAATTTAAAAAATAATAAAATTGCTATTGAAACTGAGTATGGCACAGCACTCCTAATTGCTATTTTTCACTTTTATCTTATGCCACAAAGATGGCATTCGAGGCACTGCCTGTTTTGGATGACTGTTTCCTGAATGCGAGGAACACATTCATTGGGGATGGGTATCTAAATATAGTGTCTAGTTTTCGTCTGAGCTTAGCCGACTGAATTTCATAA